CACTCCCGTCTCTTCGGGCTGCGGGTCACTAGCTGGGGTCTGCGGGACCCACGAGGGTACCTCCCCGGAGGGAGCCCCCGCGGTATCGTCCTCCCCTAGCGTGGGGACCTCAGTAGGACACGAAGCACTTAGCGGGGGCGGGGAATCCCCAACCACAGTAGCGCAGTCGACGGCCGTAGCTGCTGCGCCATCTGGCGTGGCTGGCGCCAGGGTAGCGCCGCTGTCCGACATGGCAGCGCACCCAAAGCAGGGCTAATTAGCCCTGTTCCCCTTCCTACCCCCACTCGAAAATTGCCCCCCAATAGCTGGGGGCCTTTCAGCACTTGCAATGGCCACGGAGTAGCACTGCTTCACCGGCCATGTGCAGTCACTCTAGCAAACAGACAAGCTTCGTTCTGTTTAGCTTCAGAGGAAAACCCCTTCGACGCTTTCTAGCGAAACACCTTCGATGTTTCCCAAAGGGATACTAGCGCTAGCATACACTGTCGTACCTCGTCCCTCGGCACGAGTGCATATATATATATATATATATATATACATATATATATATATATATATGCCATCCAGCATGGTACGTGCATGTATGCAAGAGCAGGGAGAGATGCCCATATATATATATATATATATATATATATACATTAATATTTGTATTTATTTATTCAGCACATGCATCAGACCGACCCTTCCATGGCGCACTGCCAGCTTAAAACGCTTTACGGGTACGTTCCGGACCCTTTCACTTCACACAGATATTCGTACTTCACTTTTCCTCGGGCGCACGGCTGTCTTGGGTGCGTCCCTTGAGCCTAAACACCACAGTGGAACATTTGTTCCATACTATACAAAATCATGTGGTAAACAGCTCATCTACAGGATTACAGGGCAACACACTCCTAAGCGAAATGTTTGTTACCCCCTCTTCGTGCATCCTCTTTTCGCCTTTTCCTTCCTAGAGGTGCAACGAACCCAAAACAGTCGCTCATTCCTCCTTTTGAAACACTCGTTGTGCACTCCGTTTTGTCGTGGTGTGAGACGAGTGAAACAGAGCTACTCCTACTGGCCGCTCTCAAACTCGTTCACTTCTTTGGCTTTTCAGCCTCAAAAGAACTCGCGGTGGCCAAAGCCACAAAACTCTTCAAACTCTTTAAACTCTCCTCGTAGAGAAACTCTTCGGCTTCTCGTGGTGCAGCTGTCGTACAGCTTTTAGAAAACTCTTTCCTCGTTTGGGAACGAAGTTCCCCCTCTCGGCTTTACAGCCTTCAGATTTCCCTTTTTCTTTATAGACCTCCGGTTTGGTCTTCCTTTCTTCTCTTTTCTCCTCTTCTCCTTTAGCTGCTCTTTTGCTGGGCTTTCTTTCCTTTGCCCTTTTCCGCATTGTCAGTGCGGTACTTTTTCTTGTTTGTCTCCAACCTGTTCGCGTATGCTCTTCGGATTATCAACTCATTTCTCTTGTACCAGGATTGGAACTGCTCCTTACTCATCTCTTCCCTTTGCATCTTTGGAGCATACTGCCCTGAGGCAGTATAGTTGTAATCAGCATCCCAACACGTTTCGGAACCATGTCCGAAACGCGAACATACTGCGCATACCATTGCCTGGCTTTGCGCATCAGGATCTTCGTTGATTTTTCCTTCCTCTTTAAGCGCTTGGAGCTCATCTTCGAGGGCCTTGTTGTTCTTTCCCAGCTCCTTTATGGTCTCGCGCATTTTCCGGCGCTCCTCTTTCATCTTCTCTGCTTCCTCGTTCTGCTGGCCTTGCGTTGACCCAGCACTGCTTTTGCGCTTCTTCAGTTTTCGAACTTCTTCATTAAGTTCTCCAATCTCTTTGTCCTTTGCCTCTTTCAGCTCTGTGATTTCTTTTTCCTTCTTGTCTATCTCTTCTTTGATCTCCCTTTCCTTTGTCTCTTGGAGCTCTTTCATCTCTTTGATCCTCTTGCGCTCCATCTCTTCCAGCTTTTGCTCAGCTTCACCTTGAAGCAGTCCACCCGCTGGAACCTGTAGTTCCTTCCTTTTCGCTTTCAACTCCTCCAGTGCAGCATGGAGTTTCGGTCTCAAGCGGTCCATTTCCTTCTGCAGGGCGGACTCCTCGTCCATTATCAATGTAGCCTCCATTTCTTGTTCCTCTTCCTCGGCTCTCAGTTTGTCCAGTTGTTTCTCTATGGACTCCTTGGCAACGAACGCTTCGTCCGCTACCCGCTTCAGCTCCTCCTTTACTTCTATCTCTTTTGCAATCAATCTGTCTCTTTCGTCCTCTTTGAGCTTCTTCTGTTTCTGTTTGTACGTGTACAAATCACCATAAATGGCGAATTTCTTTCTCTTTTCATCCACTTTCTCCTGCAGAACCCTCATCTGCCCAAGCAGGTCCTGCACTCTCTTTTCCTCCTCCAGCACTGACTTCTTTGCCAGCTTGTTCATAATCTCTTTGTACTCATCATCACTTGACTCAGAGTCTTTTCTCTTCCTCTTCTCGCCTCTCTTTTTCTCTTCTTCCTTTTCGGAGCTTTGCTCCTCCTCTTCTTTCTCCGAGCTCACTTTCTCCTCGCTCTCAGAGGCTTCATGCTCCTCTTCTTCTTTCTCTTTCTTTTTCTCTTCTTCCTCTTTTGTTTCCTTTGCTTTCTCTGCGGCATCGTTTGCCCTTTCCTTCTGGCCCCTTCGCCTCTCGGAAGCATCCAAGGCCTTCTGCCTCAGTTCACTCACTCTATCTTCCATAACCCGTGCCTGGCTTTCCTCGGCACTTCCTTTGCTTCCTTGTGCCTCTACAGCCAATTCCTCGGCTGTTTTCTTGAACTCTTCAGGCACTTTAACCTCCGCCGTTGCAGCTTCTGGCGGGGCTGCCTCTTTAGGCTCAAACTGTTGGTTGAGGCGTTGCACTTCGGGCCATAGGGCATCCAGGGTTAACCTCCTCTCGCGTTCCTTTTTGAGCTCTCTTTCGCAGAGGGTGACGGACTCTATGCTTCGGCATTCGTCCTTGATCATTGTCTTGAGGGCCGCGTCGTCGGCCATCTTTTTCACTTCTCTTTTTCTTTCTACTTCTTTTCTCCTCACTTCTTCTCTTCTCACTTCCTTTCTTCTCACTTCCTTCCTTGAGTTAAAAACGGCAGCGGCGGAACAAAACATGCATTCAGCACTTCCAACCAGACTCTTCCACAGGCTACCGTTGCAAACCAAGATAACGACCATTGTCATCATCATCACCATCATCACCAAACCAAAGCTTCCACCTTCACTGCTTCTACTGCTTTGCTCTCTTAGTCCATCACATTGCTGAACCATCATCATCATCACAAGTCTTCTCAGATACTTCGTAGGGATCTTGAAGTCACTTGCTATCCTGACCTCTTCACTCTCTTCTCCAGTTTTCACACCGATTCTCTCCAAACACTTTACAACAGCGTTCCTTGACAAAGCCTTTGTCCCTACATCTGCAGGGTTCTCCTTTCCAGCTATCGCTTTCACTTGAAGACCTACAGAAGTAAGCCTTTGAACCCAAAGCAGTCCTGCATCAATGTGCCTCGTTCTTCCTAGGCCTTTCTTCAGAAGAATAGACCTAGCACTGCTAGAATCCATCCTAATCACCATCTCCGGCCTAATCCCTAGAACTCTGTGCAACAGGTTCTGTAGAAAAACTCCTTCACTCAAACCTCCAACAGCTGCCACCAGTTCGCTTTCGCAGCTGCTCAAAGCCGTCGCTTTTTGCTTTCTCGCGTGAAAGTAAACGATGTTACTGTTCACGAAAATCAACACGCAGCTCGTTGACTGCCTATTCTCACGATCGGTCGCCCAGTCGGCGTCGGTCACTACCTCAATCAAACTCTTTGCCGTAAAAACATCTTTGTAGGCATCCTCAGTTCTCTTATCACTTGGATCCAGAAAACTCTTTCCAGGATATGCCTCTTTGTGTTCTATCACGTAATGGGCTGTCGCTTTCACGTACTTTGCCACGTGCCTAAGCACTGCTAAGTCTCCTCGCGTTGGCGCTGCCAACTTCCCTGACAACCACTTCGTAGCGAATCCCAAATCAGGTCTCTCCGGTGTCATATACAATAGGATTCCCACACAGGATCTGTACAGATGATGTTCATCTGCATCCAAGGGCGTGTCGTCTTTCAACGATCTTCCGTAATCCATTGGAAACGGCAACTTCTTTGGCAGGGCTTTTCCCAAACCTAAAATCTCTTCCAACTTCTCAAGATACTTGCCGTCCATCCTGATCTCAATTCCTTCTTTCGTTCCTAAGAACGTCCTCTTCAAGAAAGTACACTTTCCTTCTCCAACCTTCACTGGTCCTTCCAGCTTTATCTTCAACTTGTGCTTCAGCAGCAGATCAACCACTGCTTGGTTCTCCTTTGGTTTTCCAAACACTTCCAAATCATCCACATGTGTACTCATCAGCGTTCCACCTTCTCCTGGGGTCTCTGAAAACTTGTAGAAGAAACTTGGTAACCCCACATCGGAAACCATCTTCTCTTTCTCCAGGATTTCTCGTAAGTGCTCAAACCAATCACTGCTTCCTGTTCGTTGTCCCGGCAGGGTGTACTGCAGCTGGTACCACTTTCCTCCTAAACTGACAACCGTGTACTCTTTCTGCGGCACCTGAAGGTACGCATCCGAAATGTCTATCGAGATCATCTCGTAGTCTCTTGAACTCGCACACAAAGCTGATAACAGCTTGATGCTCGAACCAATACTCGTGGGTGAGTATAGCGCTGAGAGATCGTAGTCCGTCAGCCACTTGTACTCCCGCGCCACTAGGCGGGCTCGCCTCTTCCATTGGAGGTCCCTATGCCTCCAATCCAACACGTACTTTGTACTGAGTCTCTTTGGTTCTTCTCCATTCGGTCCTTTCTTCAACTCTCCATTCTCATCCAGTTCCACTTCTTTGAGAACTTTCATCTCCAATAGTCTCTCAATTTCTGTTCTCTCCGCTTTCAGGTCCACCTTTTCCAAATCTTCAGCTTCCAACTTTGGTGGCTCATCATCATACTCGTGAGACCAAGTAACCGTTAGGTCCTCTTCTGTCTCACACACCTTCTCGTTCCACTTGCTCTGGAACTCTCGACTTTCTTCCAGAAACAGCTGTGTCTCGTCGAGATCAACATACTCATCTCCATGCTCTTCGGGATCCTCGCTCTTGGCGAATCTCCGAATGTGGTATTCCACTCGCGCCGCACTTCCTCGTGCTTCGTCTCCAAGTCTTGGCACCTTTTCAACTCTTTCTTCTACCTCTCCAGTTCCTTCGTCTACTCTTGGTCCTTTCTTCGGTGACCCTTCTCCTTCTTCTTCTGCATTCCTCTTTGCAACTTCTCTTTGAAACTCCTCCAACGTCATTTCATCGGGCACCAATTCATCTTCCGCTTTTCTCTTTGTTCTCACTTCTCCTGGATCATCATCATCGTCATCGCTCTCGTCGTCCATTGCTTCTGGCGTTGCTCCAGACAGCGACGAACTCTTACTAGAAGAACTTGAGCTTCCTTGGCGGTCGCTTGGCGGCGAAGGCTCGCTTCTCTTTTCCTCTTCTACTCTTTTGTCTGTTTCCACCGCCAACCTTGGCAGTCCTGGCCCATCATCAATAGGCACAATTCTCTTCTTCTTAAACCTCAAAGCCTTCAGCTGATGATCCCATGGAGCTCCAACCGAAAGTTGCAAAAGCTCCGGCTGATATGCCTCAGCACATCTTCTCATTGTCCTCGCTTTAATCACTCCTCTACCTGTGCCAATCAGGTTCAGATTGCTCGCGTAGTCCTTTCCAAGAAAGACTCCTTTCTCCCAAGGTTCTCCTTTCTCCTTGGTCTTTGGCACTGCTTTTCCAAACACTGCTGACCCGAACGGGGCCAACTTCCCTTTGTACGTTCGGTCCACTGTTGCTTCAAACGCAGTTCTGCCATCTCTTCCAACATGAAACCTGTTGTGCAGCCATGCTGCGTGTCTGTATGCCCAGCTATAAAGCGGGGACATCAGATCCGATGGCCGTTCCACTTCGTTGCTCAACCGTCGCCAACAACGTCTTTGCAAGGTTCCTCACAGTTTGGATATACCTTTCCACAGGCAACCCTTGATGCTCATCAGGTGTGGCATCTTGCAACTCCGTCTTCAAACCTTGTTTCGTTCTTGCCACTTGCACTCCTCTTCTTATCGCAATCATCACTGGCCCGGTGTCGGTTCTAAGAACTACTTCAGCGTAACCCAAAAGGGCTAACACTCTTACCACTTCACTTACCGCGTGGTTTATCACCGCATCTCCTCCTTTCGTTGGTACCGCAATAGCTATCAGGAACTTCGTGTCATTGTCAACACCCGCAAGCTGAATAGCAAGCGGATCTCTCTCCTTTTCATCTCCTTGTGTTCCTGTGAACATAAAGTCCAAGCTAAACACGGGCCGTTGCGCTTTCTCTTTCGTCTCTTCAAAGTTGTCTTCTCTGCTCTTTGCTGCCTGGCATGCTTCACACCAGGGCGCTCTCGGCAAATGCGTCAACTCATGCGCTTCAATCTCTTCCGGGCTCGGCAAAGCAGGCAGAGCCTCTGGAATCGGCTCTCTCTCAAACTCCTTTCTGATATCTTCAGAGATTTGGGCTTGCGCTTTCACTTTGCTCAGCGCAACCTCTTTCTTCAATCTTTTCCACAAAATCTCTTTCGATCCATTCTTCGAGATATGCAGATACTTGCACGCCGCTTTCATCTCCTTCAACTCACTCTGGCGCGTCAACTTTATCGGTCCAATCACCATCACTTCTTCTTCATCTTCACCGATCACCGGAACTCCTCTCTTCGGTTCCTCTTTCTCACTTTCCTTTTTGTCTTTCGAACCTGAGGAGGTTCCTGTGACCTCCATTGGCACTCCTTCTTGTGCCAGTTCTCTTTCAAGCTCTTCCAAGTTCGTGAGCAACCCATAGTCACTCGGTTCCTTCAATCCCTTTTCCAACAAGGTGACCATCACCTCAAACCTTGCTTGAGGACTCGCCCCAAGTTGCACTCTTTCGCGATCCTTCCAGATCTCCGTACACTCAAAGAAATCCATACTCTTCCAATCCACTTCGTTCAACACTCTTTCTCCACTTCTTTTCATCTTTCCTAGCAAGGTTGTCCTATAAGGAAAATAATCGCCTTCATCTCCTGCTCCCTCATAGAGCCTGTTAGGGAACTGACCCGTTGGGTCAAACGTCTTCCCCATAAACCAATCAAACCTTGCAGGCGTGCCGTCATTTAGCACAAACCAACCATCTTCATCTTCTTTACTCTTCAACTCATTCTTCAGTTCTCGCTCCAGCCTCACAGGCTGCACCGTCATCTCTTCTCCTTCAAGTCTCCGTATACACATCCTCGCCATTGAGGAATTCCTTTTGAAGTATATCGGTATCCGAACACTTCCTTTCTTCAGCCACAATCTTCCATCTTCATTCACCGTACCCCAACCTAGCTTCCACATCTTTCCTACCGCAAACAAAGGTTGGGTGACATTGCCGCAAACAGCACTGTCAGTGATCTTCAACTTCTTTCCAGACTCCTTCGTGAAAACAAACGTCACATTCTGCCTCACAGGCAGCGTTGGGATCACTTTCCCTTGCGCATCTTTCAGATGGTACTCAAAGTTCGAAGTTTCTCCGACTTCTTCTGCCCAATCCATAGGCAACACATGGCAGTCAGCTCCACTGTCGAGCACTACCTCACATGCATCCACTTCTCTTGCTGTTCTTCTCACATCATCTCCTTCAGAAACCATTCTCACACTTCTTTCAACTTCTGTTTCCAAGAACCACCATCCTTGGTACCACTCCATCAAACCATCAGTCGGTTCCTCCTCGATCTCTTCCACTTCATCGCTCGAAGAGATATCAAACTCCTCAACTCTTCTCAGCTCTCCTTGAACCAAACCTTCAAACTCTTGACACAATCTCACAAAGTTGAGCTCTTCATCCTCATCGTTCCACTCTTGTGTCATCTCTACTCTTCTTGCTTGTCGCGCTGCTTCAGCTGTGATCTGCCTCACTTGACCAGTCTCATTCTTCGCAGGAGGGGCATTGCTAGAGGAACTCTTCTCGTGATCTCCTTGATGGGTTCCTTCCTCTTCTACCTGTCTCACTTTGCCTTTACCTCCTTTTCCTTTTCCTTGATTCTGCCAGCAATCAGCTGCTTTGTGTCCTGTCTTTCCGCATATGTGGCACTCTCCTGTGAACTTCCCTTTCCCGTAGCCACCAGCGTCCACTGCTCGTGCATTTCTATAACCACCTTTTCCTTTTCCTTTGTTGTCGTATCCTTTTCCTTTTCCTTTTCCTTTGTTGTTGTACCCTTTTCCTTTTCCTCCTTTTCCTTTGTTGTCGTATCCTTTTCCTTTTCCTCCTTTTCCTTTGTTGTCGTATCCTTTCCCTTTGTCTTTTCCTTTTCCTTTCACTCGATCAACATCCATTGGTTGTGGCCCATTGTAGGGTGTACTCTTCGTTGCGCTTTCCATGTTGAAAGACTGCAAAATGTTCTCCGCATTCCACGATTGGGTACTCCTCTCATACTCAAGCAACTTCTTCCTGATGTCTGCGTACTTCGTCGTAGGGGTCAATCCTATCAGGATATGTTTCCTCAACTCATTTGGCAAACCTTTGAGTACTGTTCCGATTTTCAAATTCTCATCGTATGGTTTTCCTTCGGACAGTTTTTCGTCTTCCGCAACCAGTTTTTCGTAGGTAGGCAGATAGTCTAAGATAGAAGTCCCCTTCGTCATCTGGGGAAAGCTCACTAGAGCTTGAGCCATTGCCAGCCCTCTTGTTCGGCTTGACGGCTCCAACTCTTCAAACAGTCTCCTCCAGACAGAATATCCATCTGGACTTCCTTCTGACTTCAATAACTTTAGTGGCCTGTTCCTAAGATACGAGGCCAAAATCGCATACAGCTTTGTACTTCTTTCTCTTTCACCAACTGTATAATCTGCTGGATTTGGTGGTGCCAGCTCCACTTTCTTCAACTCTTCTGCATAGGTGGGATCAATGAAGCCCACAAACACTTTGAAACTGAAACTCCGGTCTGGCCACTGTGAAACTTCCTCCTCCAAACTCTTTGGAGCGAATACATCCGGACTCTTTACCAGCTTAGCTGCAGAGTCGTAACTCCTGGTACTTCCTGTACCTGCAGCACTAGCCAAAGCTTGCGCTGCTGCCGACAGGTTCCCTATCAGGGCCTGAAGGGATCCTCCTGCAACTCCTTCTGGTGCAGGCATCGCCATTGGCGTATCACTTGGTGTATCTCCTCCTTGACCACCGTGACCAGGGACACAGGCAAATCCGCGTCTCCAGCTGGACTTGGCGTGGCCATTCAACTTTCCTATCTTTCACTTTCCGTGACACTGGGGCCCTAGGCTCTTTTCTCCTTGTATTGGGCTCTTCTTCAGCTGAAGGTCCTGGCCTTCAGCTCCGCTACCATAAAACGCTTTACGGGTACGTTCCGGACCCTTTCACTTCACACAGATATTCGTACTTCACTTTTCCTCGGGCGCACGGCTGTCTTGGGTGCGTCCCTTGAGCCTAAACACCACAGTGGAACATTTGTTCCATACTATACAAAATCATGTGGCAAACAGCTCATCTACAGGATTACAGGGCAACACACTCCTAAGCGAAATGTTTGTTACAGCTCCATCACCAGGCTTGCGCTTGGAACCTGGCCAGCCGAAGTGCACTTGTTTCTTCACACTCGAGCAGAGCTATATATATATATATATATATATATATATATATGGCGTCGATTGCATGTCTACTTCAGGATCCGTCTCACGACATCTACACAATCTAGAATTGCTGCTCCATTCTGTCTCATTTCTATAGAACCCAACATACATATATATATATATATATATATATACATGTATATATATATATATATATATATATATATATATATATATTTATACCTACCAGAAATCGATAGAACACCTAGAACACCTATAGTGACTGCACACATCGTTCCATCCCAGCAACAACTATCTGCAATACCTAGACATTCACATGCAGATCCAAATACATACACATATACTATATATATATATATACACACACAAGATGTATGTGTAATGCTACGTATGCACATCTGCTTCATACTGAACTAGCACTGGTAAAAGTCCGAAATACAAACACATACCAAGTGTATGCATGGAACCTATAGAACAGCAGCAAGTCTATAATCACACATGCACACAGAGGTACGGATTTTGTCCCATCATCCCCCGAATCCAAAGACATGGCGAGCCTTGTGACAGGGCATTCTTCCGGTCATCAGCTCCTGTAGCAGCACCACAGATGCATGCAGTACCACCGTGATTATGTCTCTTGTCCCCGAGCAGTATGACAATCGAGCAAACCGGTTGCAAATCTCAGCGCACCTGTATCCGACAAAGAAGCTAGCTTCAGCAGCCGCTTGTTGCCGGGCATTGGTTGAGACCTCACCACACCAATGAACTTGTACATGTGAGCTGCACTGACTCTTTTCGATGGGCTGAATGCACATGAACTGAAGCTTTGAAAAATGCTACTACACTCAGCTGTTTCTTTCCGAGCACACATCAAGATCTGCGAAGTCATATGGAGGGCCCCATCTGGCATGTAAGGTTTGCAAGCTATGCACACCACAGTACCCTCCAGTCAGTCGTAAAACCACTGGTTCAAAAGCGGGCAAGGTCTACAGGCTGGCCTGGTCTTGCCTCCCCTGTTGGGTGTCGCCACAGCCGCACTATCCCTACAGAATGCCATTCCTCCATCTGAAGGTCCAGGCATGTTCAGTCACCATCTGCTTTCAAAGACCACTTTACTTGAAGGCCCGTGGGCCTGGATAGAACAGACATGCCTTTGCCTCCATGTGAAAATCGAGGCTCACATGAGCTTTGCTCACGGCCAAACTTCTCCATACTGCTCCTCAAGCTCTGAACGGAAGTTCCTGATGGTATTCGTCATCTCCTCACCATGGATGTTCATATCACGATCCAACAGGGAGACCTGAGCAGTTCATAATCAACACATGATTGGGATTACCAATTCTTCAGATCAGCATCTCTCTACATATTGCATCTGAACCAGGGCACAATCTCGTTGGCCACGAGGATGCCGACCTTCAAATTCTTGAAGCTCATGCTCCAGACCTGTGGGCCATTCTTCTGGCGAACTCCGATCACACTCCTGGTCCAATACAGCTCCAGCTTGTAATTCCGCCCATGCTGGACCAGCCTGCAACATTGTAACACACAGACTCTCAGCACCCGGATCAGCGCATTGCTAATGCTTTGCATTTTGATGCATGCTTGTATATTATATATATATATATATACATATTTATATGTTTGATTTTATGCTTATGTGCCATACGACTGTATGCGTATATGTCTTGCTGGATGTCTCTATAGTAGATGTATATATGTACACATTATATATAGTGCAGATCAGAAGAGATGCAGGTGTGAAGGTTACATGCTGGACTAGACTTCTGTCTGATTTTGATGTATGTAAATATAGATATATAAATGTATATATATATATATATATATATATATATATATTGATACGTTATATATATATATATATGAATATCTATGTCACTGTATATCTACATGTAGAGATATAGATGCTCAGATCACGTCACATAGGCCAGCGACGACTCAGCTCCCCCCCTGCATACATGACACACTGCGCAGAAGCAGCTGAAACATCTCAGTCCACAAGATTGGTGTCGGGCAAAGGGATAAGGCTTTGTTTAGACAAACATAAGCAGTATATGACATGTGTACATATTTCTATAGGACAAGATGCCCAGAGCAGAAAACCCATGCACCACCTTGAAGATATATGAGGATTGAACGAAGGAACACACAAATGAATGAATCAAATTGCTGATTATTTGAGTGCACGGCTGAATGCACGAACAGCATTGAATATCAATGACTCCCTGAATGCCTGCATGAATGACTGCATGCAGGGGTGGGTCAATGCATACATGTGTCTATGTCTTGGTGCACGCACGTGTGTATGTCTGCTCATGCCGATGTCTAGAATATACTTGCATGGCCAGAAAATCATGTCTGCATGTATACATTTGGGCACATGTGTAAGCACACATTTGTATATATGCATGTACTTGTGTGCTTGTATATCTGTGTGTTCATATCATACACAGACACGTGTTACATGCCTATTATACATACACTCCTCAATGTTTGCTTCAAGCTGCTAGGACAAAGGCTTCAATCGTCCATAGAGCGATAACACATGCATATATATATATATAGATGCATAAACATGTTATGGTGTAAAATGCTCTATATTCCACATATCAAGGACTACATGATATATACATATACACATATACATACATACATATTGTACTATACATGGTCATATATTGGTAAAGGACTATAGCGGTTCTGCAATGATATACTTCCCCCTTCTGTACTCTGAATATGATTTGTATACACATACAGATATATGTAGGTTATATAAATATAAATATATATATATATATGATATGATATGATATGATATGATATGATATGTATTAATATGTGGAGCAAACAGAAAATGCACATCTGGTGAACAACAGCTTGCACAACACTTTAAGCAGACAAGCAGCGCCCTGCAAATCTTGCGATTCTCCTCGGAAAGGCCTTTGGCACCGCGACCACGGCCACGACCACGACCGCGCGGTGGCACCTCGTCCGGCACATCCTCATGCCCATCACCACCCATGGGTGCCTCCTCCGGCTCTTCAGCCAATGGCACAGGCACTCTGGGCTCAGGCTCTGCATCAGCCAACGGCTCAACCACTCTTGGCTCAGGCTCTGCATCATCCAACGGCTCTGGCACACTTGGCTCGGTCATCCCATCTGCATCAGGCATGGAAGCTTCTGCACCATTTGCCTCAGGCACGATTGCCTCAGCATGGACGGGCTGCTCCTCAGCAATGCGTCTGGCTGCAGCTGGTCGCTTCATCATTCTCTTGGCCGCCCCTTTCTTCGCTGCTGCCTTCGCCCGCTTGGGCTTGGGCTCCACAGGCTCCTCCGAGGCAGCACCGCGCTTCGTCCTGCAAGCCTTGTCCATGGGTGTCTCCTCTGGCACTGCAGCCCCTCTGGCATTCGGAGTTACCAACTCTTCATTCTCTTCATCATTTTCACTGGGCGGCGGTGCCTTTCGACCCCTGCCCCTGCCACGGCCACGGGAGCGACCGCGACCTCCGCCGCGAGCGCGATTCTTCTCCTGCATCTTCTGCCGCAGCTCGACTCACTTCCATGGACCGATGGCTCTGGCGCCAAAACCTCCAATGGCATAGGACCACAAACCCCGGAACTGGGCTCAGGCTCCTCTGCACTCTCCATCTCCGGCTCGGGCTCCTCCGCAATCTCTGGCTCCTGCTGGGACTCCTCTGCACTCTTTGGCCCATCTGCATCCTCAAGCAAGGTCTCCATGCATGGGCCATGCATCGATGACGATGCCTCTTCGACAGGAGCCATCGGAGCAGCAGCACGGCTCAACGCATCATGCTGCCCTTGATACACAGCATCAAAGTCCATCGCCAAAGATCGGTGGATGCCGGAGGATGGCTCCTGAATATCCCCCTCCTTCCATTCGGTGGCCCTGCAAAGCATGTCCTCATCATAGAACCGGGTCGCATCCACTTGCGTCAGGTCCGGATCATCACTCTCACATCCATCCCTCGGGACAAGCAAATGAAACACAGTGTACATGTAATAATATATATATATATATATGTATATATAATATACATATACCTACATGTAACATATGTTATATCTGTATTCTACATATATATTTATGTGTATATATATACACATGGTTATATGTGTGTGTGTTTATCTATTTAAGCTTAGATATGGATGCTGATACAGCGATATTAAGTTTAGAAACAAATAAAGCTGTGTGATGAATGTATGCATATGAATAGGTTTGTGGCTGGATCAATATCCTGATACCCATAAGCACATCTACATACTTCTATTATAGAGAAAGACTCATCTTTATAACCTGGTGTGATACTTATTTGCATATCTTTCTACACTGGAAAGAGAAGGCGATATAACCATATATATATATATATATCTATATCTATAGGGAGATAAATGGAGTGAGCATAAGGCAATCTTGCGAAATGCCACATATGCTGCACAGACTCAGCCTCGCATGTAGCAACCATGCAGCACACATGGGAAGTCTCAAGGCATATCTCAATAAACCACAAAGCGGCCCCTCGTAAACAACAAATACAGTTAGTGAGGTTATCTATATGACACTATTCCGAATGAATAAATATTCATATATATATATATATAGATATATATACAAATATGTATCTATATATATATATATATGTGTGTGTGTATGTATGTATATATATATATATATATATGTGTATATCCATATATACACAAGCTATCATTCGATGTAGACTCCGATCGGCACATTGAACCTGATTTGACTTCCCAGTGTGACACTGAACCAAACTTAGGACACATGCACAACATATAGAACCGCGTACACACACAAGGATGCTGCTTTGAAGATGAAGTTTATGCTCATCTCAGAAATAGCACCCATATAGATGTGATCAGACCATGCACATATCTATATATGTATATGTTACACTACAGTTCTCCCCACTCGTCTAACTCCGTATCGGTCTTGTCTACTGGTCCCTTTTATTCTGGACCCACTGTTGCTACACAGTCATATGATAGCAATGCGATTTGAGCACTTGTATGCGCAACTGTTACATATGGAAGAAAGACGAACCACTCTGCAAATCTCTCCAGTAGGCAGGCATGGTATTGCAAGAGGCATGGCACATTTCAGTTAAGTTTCATGCTCTATCATCATGCGTATATGAAGATGCTTGCTGAAGGCAAGGATCGGCTTGCCATGCTCCGGTGTGTCCTCGATGCTGATCTGGCTGGGGAAGGCCTCTAGCAGCACTCGCAAATTAGGTGTTTGATGGTCTAGCATAAAATTACACAGCAAGTTCAGGGTTGCCACCTCGCGGGAGGAGCCATTGAGCAACCTCTGTCTCTCCAAACTCTCCTCAGCTATGCCACAGCATTCAGAAGCACTCAACCGAATTTCCAAATTTCAATAATCAATGACATTGATGGCCATGGAGCACCGGCTTCAGCAGGAAGCATCGGACAGGTGTCCACATTATCCACCATGGATCCAAGCATGATCCTATGCAGCCATATAATCAAAAATCCTGCATCTAGTATGACACACCACAATAGACTTGCAATGTTCAACCCACTGTCCTCTCTCGTTGCGCATGCAACTTCGCGAGAAGGCACTGCTTGACCTCATCCACAGATGTTGGGCCTCAAGATGAGCAACCAGTGACAACGGATACGATGTGCACATGCATGGGTCATGCATCTATGCAGATTTACTGACTAAGATGTTGTGTGTATGTGCTCCAATGCGGCATGCAACTATCAGCACAAAACATATGCCTGTAATGACAAACTTTGAAGAAAGATGACACACATATCTATATATATATGCAAGATAGACAACATAAACAAGTCCAACTGCTCTCGATGCACTTCCGGGTTTGTTCATGTATGGACAGCATATATATATATATATATATACATTTATAAATAAGTATGTATGCTGTGTAGACATATATATATATATATATTTATTTATTTATTTATACAGTAATAGTCAAACAGTAATAGAAATGCTACATATGTATATATGCACTATGCTGTATAGAGTTTATATGCATTTTCAAGAGATACCCAAACGAGGTTATATATGACATATGTCTATACAAATACAGAAACTGATATATATATATATATATATACATACCTGTAACTACATATACCGGTAAAGAAAGAGTGAGAG